TGACTCTTGATTTGCATCTCCATCTGCAGGTGGAGCTGTTTGTTCCCTGCTCCAGTCTTTTTGTAGTTGGCTTTTTTTTTTTTTTGTGCAAACCTGATGGAGATGAGCAAATATTGGAAAAAATGTGGTTTTGGCCAAGTTAAGGGATCTGGAATGGGTGTAGTTGGAAATTAATGCTCCTCTGGGAATTTTATCCAATGTCAGATCAAATCAGAGTGGGAGGGGGCGAAGAGAGCCAACTGTTGGTGTTTGTAGGTCCAGAATTTGATTCCTTGTTTTTCTTCTGCTTCCAGGCCACCAACCTTCTACAACAGCGGGTCACCCCCGCGGCCGCCGTTCCAGGGCAACGACCCCCATTCCCAGCACATGTACAACCCAGGCTCGAGTCCAGGGCCAGGCCCTGGCATGTCCCAGGGTCACAACGGGCCCCCGATGCACCCCGGCTCTCCTGGGCACCATCCCTGCGGAGGCCCCCAGGGGCCGGGAATGCCGCAGAGCCCCCCCATGCAGGGCGTTCCCCCGGGCTACATGGGCCCGCAGAACCAGACTGGAATGCCCATGCAGGGCCAGCAGGGGGGGCCGCCCCTCACCCCGCCGGGGATGGGAGGATCCTACAATTCCCCCGGAGTGCAGGGACACATGGTGAACATGCCAAGGGACAATCACTGCCCCCCGGGGCCGCAGTACCAGCAGATGGCCGGCGAGTACGAGCCCATGCAGAACCCGGCTGACTTCTATGACAACTATTATTCCCACCAAGCTGTACACAACTTCCAGCCATCCAATAATTCTGGAGGTAAGGATGTCTGCTGGATGAATTTTGGATAGGAGCTTCCTGGAATGTCTTCAGTGTTCTGGCTTTCTCAGTTGTGTTGTTAGGTCATGTTATGCTTTAGAGTGAAATGGGATATTGGGAAGAAGTCCTTCCCTGTGAGGGTGGGGAAGCCTTGGCAGAGTTTTCCCAGGGAAGCTGTGTTAGAGATTTTTTCAAAAATGGCTTAGAAAGCAGCTGTGAGGAGCAAATTCTCACAGTTTGTTTCTGTAAACAGCAGAAGTTCTCAGGTTGTTTTTAATTACAAGTAAAAGTGACAAACATGAAGGCCTTGAGAACCTTGCATACCAGAGTTCTTAGGCAGTTTTCTCATAACAAGTAAATATTCTATCTTTAGCTGTTTTGAGAAAGTAAAAGTAAGTTTTGAGAACACAAATCTTAGTATTGGAAACAAAAGGAGGGGTTGGTGTGTTATCTCTGACCTATTGTGAGCTCAAGTTTTGCAATATGCATGAACTTAATTAACACAGTTATAAAAAGTGACTGATTGAGTCAATAAATAGAGTCGATGCTGATCAAGGAAGATGGGTCGTCTCTCTCCACTTCAATAAAGCTGTGGCTGCCCCATCCCTGGAAGTGTTCCAGGCCAGGTTGGAAGTGGCTTGGAACAGCCTGGGATAGGGGCAGGTGTCCCTGCCATGGCATGGAACTGGATGTGCTTTAAGCTCCTTTCCAACCCAATCCATTCCATGACTCCATGTTTACAGCTATCAACACTTCTCTAAGGATAAGTACTAACTGGAGTTTTGTCCTGCAGATGGAGCCTGGCACGGGGAATTCACGGATCACCAGGCTCACCTCATGGCTCCGGAGTCGCATGCGGGCGGGAGCGAGTCGGACTGCATGGGCGGCCACATGGGCCACAACCAGGGCATCAACGTGCCCGACTTCCTGCCTGCCATGCAGAAGGCCCTGTATGCCAGGCTCAGCCAGAAGCACCAGCGGGATGGAGACTCTGCCAGCAGCCAGGGCCAGAGGGCCATGAGCAAAGATGAAGGTGAGCAGGGCTTGGGTGGAATTCTCATAATCCTTGATGGCCGTGGTCAACAGATCAGTTGGTGTTGACTCGTGTCATGTCACTGTTATTGTCACGGTCCCCAGTTATTGGGAACAGTTACTGGAAGCAGCAGAAGCTCAGTATTTTCAGCTCTTCTTCTCAGCTTGTTCTAGGGTCTCAGTGAAGGTTCAGTCCATCCTGGCTCCAATGAATAATCTTTGGATCTGTAGTTGCACTTTTAAAAGGTCCTTTGGTTGATAATTACTTTGGAAAATCCTGTGTTGGACCAGAGGGGTTGTTTCTCACTGCCAGGACTGGAAGTGCATCCTCTATCCTATTTATTCAGTTGCACCTCTTGATCTCTTTCCTATAGGGCAGCATTTTTCTTTCTCTGATATCTTTTAAAATAAAATACTGTAATTTCTTCTCTTCCTGAATCTCAACCTCTCCTACAAACTTTGGGATTTGGATTAAGTAAAGCAGCAAATTTGTAATTTACTTGGATTAAAGACCACTGCAAGGGGCCATTTTACTTTTCCTTCTGTCAAGACTCAGATTTTAGATTGGTTTTTGTACTAGTACTGATAGGGATTGTTTGAAAGCAGGTTATTTTCCCAGGTTAATATTGATGGATATGGAGACACTCCCAGGCAGTGTTGCATTCTATCTCCACTCCCTCCAGGTTTTTGTGTAATGGCATTTCTTTAATTACATGGATTTTGATCATTTGAGGTTGTGGTTTTTATGACACTGGGAGTGATTTCATATCAGATCTTTTCAGTTTGATTTTACTCTCATTAGGAAGTGTTGGATTCTCTAAGAATTATTTGCTGGAATAATCTAAATTTTGTGGCATTTCTTTGATTTTTAGATGACAATGTCAACTGGTATTCCAGCAGTGAGGAGGAAGAGGGGAGCAGTGTTAAATCAATCCTCAAAACCTTAAAGAAACAAAGCGAAAACTTTAGGAATCGGCAACAACATTCCACGGAGCAGCACATGCTTGGGATGCCGACGGATCCCAGGCTGGCAAAAGACAAAGGTGTGGGGGCTCAGGCTGCTGACCCGCGACTCCGCGCGTCCCCAAGGCCCAATCCCAGGAAACCTTCGGAGTCGGCGTCCCTGGATCCCCGGCTGGCCCGCGATCCGCGGATGCACAAGGTCAGCGAGGGCGCCCATCCCGGCCCCTCCCTGGCCGGGGCCAAGCTGGATTTGCACCACGCCCACGCCGGAGTGAAGGTCAAGCAGAAAGGGCTGGATGATGATGAGGAGGACTCGGAGAGGGAGCTGAGGGAACGAGCTTTCCTCATTCCCTTGGAGCCTCTGCCGGGCGTCACGTTACGGGATCCCCGCTCCCAGCTGCGGCAGTTCAGCCACATTAAGATGGATGTGACCCTGATGAAACCCAACTTTGCCAAGCACATTGTGTGGGCCCCCGAGGACTTGCTCCCAATCCCTCTGCCTAAACCCGACCCCGTCTCTTCCATCAATTTACCTCTCCCTCCTCTCATTGCTGACCAGAGACTGAATAAACTGCGGAATCTGAAGAACGATCCACACCCCAATGCGATGCCAGCTGATCCCCGGCTCGCTGCCAAGGCCAAAAACAGCCTTGTGGGCCGGGGTGGCTACTTGGATCCATCCACAGATTCCCATGCCAGTAGCTCCAGCAAACTGGGGGATCCTCGCTTGCAAAAGAACGTTGATCCCAGACTCCACAGACTGTCGAGTGCAGAAACTCACCACGGAGTCGGGAAGGATTCCCACCCTCCCAAGTTTGACCCCCGGCTTGCCAGAGCTGCTGCCAGCTCATCCCAGCCCTCAGAAGCCACGACTCCAAAACCCGACCCCGATGCTCTGCCTCCCTATGCGCCCAAATTATCATCCAGTGGTGTTAGGCTGGGAACTCCCGGCTCCATCCTGAGCGGGATCAGTTTGTACGATCCCAGGGATCACAGCTCATCCTCGGACACGGCTCCAGCCAGTTCGGGAGAGAATGGAGAGAACCAGAAAAAAAGCATTTTGAAAAATTCCAGTAAAAATGAGCCGAGTCTCGCGGAAGATGCGTCCCAGCAGAAGGCTGCCTCCAACACGGAAAAACCCACGGAAGGATCAGCGGAAGCTGCTCCAGACAAGGCCAACAGCACCAGTAAATCTCAGGCTAAACACTCCAGCGCTGCCCCTGCCGTCCATAATCTCCCAATCCAGGCTCTGTCGGGGTTAATCCGGCCGCAGTACAGCGACCCCAGGCAGGTGAGGCAGCCGGGACAGGTAACGCAGGCCCCGGAGAGCGATCCCAACGGGGAGTCGGATGATAAATCCTTGAAAGATGTTTTCAAGACTTTCGATCCAACTGCTTCCCCGTTTTGTTAGCAGACGGCTTTGGAGTCTTTTTACCGTTGTGGGTATTGCAGTTCTCTGCTGTTTTGTACCTGGGTTACCTCTTTTGGCTTTATTTATTTTTAAATTATAATTCCCACCACTTTTCAGCTGCTAATCTCCGAACCACACGCAGTTCTCCAGTACGCTCGAGTGTTTGCAAAGCTGTGGTATTTTCTAGGGAATCCTTTTTCTTTCCAATTTCAGGGAGACTAATAATTGACCTGTAGAAAGGAAACCAATCCCCCCAGATCGTGTTAGAGCTGAGAAAAGCACTTTCATTGTAAATAAGTCATGGAAAATTCCCAGAGCTGTATATGTGTGAGCTGCCTCTTTCCCAAGCACCACTTAGATCCGATTGCCACATTTGTATAGATCCAAGCAATATTATGTACATGAATTCCCGGGAGAGATGCCGTTCCAGGACTGCCAAACCCCTGAACTGATGGAAAACCTCACGGAAATGATTTCAAAGGAAAGCGTCGCTCCTCCTTTTCCAATGAATTGATGTAAGACACGGACAGTTTTTATTCCTGCAGTCAATATTAGTGTAAAAGAGACTATATCACATATTGAGGATGAAAAATGTCATATCTTTTAAAAGTATTTTATTCTATGCTGTACATAGAAGAAATTGTGAAGTACATAACTAGCAAAAGTAACTGTTCGAAGTGGAGAAAACTACATTGTCTAATACGAAAAAAAAAGGTTTTTATTTAATTTTTTTCCACGCCTACACGATTGGGATTTAGTGCTCCGAGTTCCATTGTGGTGTTCATGTATTTCAACGTATTTTTGTATTCAGCTGCTTAATTTGTATTGCTTTTTTTGTATGGCTGTAACTGCAGTACTTGTATTCATGGTGTCTCGACGACATTTTTAACAAAACAATTAAAAAGGGTACAGTTAATTCCTGGTGATGACTCGGTGTGCATACGGTGGCAGCTGGGAGGAGGGGACTAAAGCCGGGATTTTTGGGATGGTTTGTGGGGTTTTAACATAACCTTGTACCTGATCCCTAGGTCTCATGGAGAGAGTTGGCATTTTCCATCATGGAACATCCTGCATGTCATGAATTCCCCAGGTTTTGCATGGGAGAGCAGAACTGTCCTCCAGCCTCTGGGGCTGCTTTTTCTCCAGAGGAAGTGCAGTCATTCCTAGCCAGCTGCTTTTCCAATAAAAATGTGCCGGCCTCTCAATCAGTCATCTGCTTCCCACCCTTTGGAAGCTTTCTCTGCTTTAAGTCTCTTCCTTGGTGGACCTTTTCATCTTGTTTTTCCCTTGGCCAAGTGATGGTCATGGACCTTTCCCACTTGTTTTTCCTTTCACCGAGTGATGGTCATGGACCTTTTCCTCTTGTCTGCTGGCCAAGTGGTGTTTCCATTGGTACAGCAGAGTGTTTATCCCAAATTCTGAGGTTTTGCCTTGCATGGATGAGCCAAGGGAAGCCTGTGATTCCTGCACAGCAGAAGAAGCATCTCCCGAAGGCATTCCTGGTTTCCCTTTGCCTTCCTGATTTGCCAGAGCATGGATTCCATTAATTTTATTATTTTTTTGTGTAGCAAACGTAGAGAATAGACATGGAACTGGGTTGTTATTTTGGAGTAACCCATTAGTCCTTTATTAGTAGTCTGTTATTTCTTCTTCTACGCACTGGTGTGGCTGGTCAAGGTTTTCCTCAAAACAAGCAGGGAAAAATAGTGTGGGAATAGGACATGGATACAAAGGCCTGTGAGTCCTCACAGCCTGCTGTCTCCATGTGTGTTTCCTTCCTTCCTGCCTCCCTCCTCCCCTGCCCTGCTTTATCCATTGCAGATTGCTTCCCAGAGTCTCCAGTGTGCCTGCTGTTGCTTTTTCTTGGAATATGGAGGAGATTCCTTGCTGCCACGCACGTAATGGAATTCCTGGGCTGGGCAAGGTGGTTGGGATGCAGGTGGGACCCCAAGGTGGGCTGGGATGGGCTGCAGCCACCACGGAGCCACTTGTGATCTGCTGTGGTGTTGGATTGTGTATTCCACAGGGGAGGCTCCCTTCCACCTCTCCTGCAGGATTCCAGCATGGAGCAGTGTTTCCATCGGACAACTCGTGATCCTGAGGCTGGAAGGATGGATGTGGAGAGGCAGGATACAGGAGCAGCAGTGTCACCAGTCTGGGATACTCTGGAAGCTGTGAGGTGGGTGATCTTGGGAAGTGAATGTTTACTCTGGATAGCAGAGAATCCTGGGGCTGAGTGGGATTTTGGGAAGAAATCTGCAGGCTCAGGGGCAGCAGGTGAGACAAAACACTCCCCACTGCTGTACCCCTGGATGTGTGAAGGAGGAAAGGCTGAAAGATGTCACAAAGCCTGAACATCTCTGGATCACAGAATCCTGGAATAGTTTGGGTGGGAATGGACCTTAAATTCATCCCATTCCACCGCCTGCTATGGGCAGGGATACCTCTGACACCTCCCACTGGATCAGGATTCTCCAGAGCCCCGTCCATCCCATCTCACCACCTGGGGGTAAAACACTCACCAGAAGATTCCTGGCCTCCCCTCGGAGCCTGTTCCAAGATTTTCCTGCCACAATGAAAAACTCCAACATGAATCCTGCACACTGCAAAGTATTCCTCCTTTGCTTCCAACAGCACTGGGACAAGCAGCCCCTCTGGATTTACAGATGTCTGTCCATAACTGTGTGTCCTTTCCTGGGACTGGGATGCTTTGGGATATTCCTGCTCCAAGGGGGTTGCTCTTGCACCAGAGACATCAGGGTGGGCTCAGCCTTTGCCCCTCGAGTTTTCCGGAGCCCTAATTCATCCCGGGTGGAATTTAAGGCCTCCTTGGCTCTGTGCTGTGTCAGGTTTTTCCTCCACTGCTGGCAGAAAGCAGCAACTTCTTCTTCTTCAGGGTCTGCTGGGGGTTGTCCCAAACCCTGTTGGATGAAGGAATTGGTTTAATATATCCCTGTGCATCCTAAATTATGGAAAAGTCTGGCTGTGCTGATGTGTGCATGATCCACCAGACATTGCTACCTCTTAATGCTTCAAAATGCTTCAGAATGCTTCAAAAGCTTCTTACAGGGAGAGGAAAGGAGGGCAGTTTGATGATAAGCAGGGAATTTTCCAAAGGGAAATTTCCAGGTCATAAGGGCTTTGGGATCTAGATAGTCAAAATTAATGAATTAATTAATTTAGCATCAGCACAGTGAAAAATGGGCAAATAGAAGAAGTGCTGAGTTTAATTAAGCACAGGAGGAGCTTTGTCACCCTTGGGGCTGATTGTTCAGCAAATGGGATTCTAAAAAATCTGTGTTTCCTTCAAAAAGAGATGCTGATCCCAGGAAAAGCAGTAGGATTATAGAGGAGGATGGGATTCAGATGGAAATGCTGCCTCAGGGAGAGGCTGGTGCTGTTTGCACTTGTTTTCCAGTTGTTTTCAGGAAAAATCTGCTCCCATGGACTTTACAGTCAGATCAGGTGGCCGTTGATGGCAGCTGCATGGGAAACTCCTGGGAATTTGGCTTTTGGGAATAAAGAGGATGGCATGGACTAATTCCAAATAAAGGTGCTCTATGATCCAAAAATTAAGTAGGGAATGGACCAGGTAAAGGTGACTTCAAGGACAGTCAGTACCTGGGATAAATGAAAGTATTCCATGAGGAATATCTGCTCCAGCTGGAGTCCCACAGCAGCCAGATCCCAGCTCCCATAGAAGGACCTGGATGTGAAACTCCCACAGCATGGAATTGCCCTGGCACAGAGAAGCTATGGCTGCTCCATCCCTGGAATTGCTCACAGCCAGTTTGGATGGGGCTTGGAGCAACCCTTCCCACCCAAGTAATTCCAGGATTGGTTCCATGATGGACTCACTTTGACACAGGCCGCCTCGGCCGCCCTCAGGATGTGCTGCACTGCTTGAAGGAGGTTCTGCACGTTGCTGAGCAGCAGCTCAGAGGAGGCCCTGCTCTCCCCAGTCACTGCTTTCACCCTTCAAAAACATTCCAAAGGATTTTATTGGAAGGACATGGGACATCCTGACAGTGTTATTCCAAACCCAGCTTGTCCCCAGGGAAACCCATGGAGAGAAGGGAGGCCTCCAAATTGTTCCTCAACTCTTGGACAACACCCACCGCCCCTAGCACCTCTGGGGACCACCACCCACGTTCCTTGGAGAAGGGATCCCTCTTGGATGCCCTTGGGAGAGGTGATCCCAGCCGCTGGCAGCTCACCTGGCCACGATGCCGAGCTGGCTGCTGATGGATTGGGCGTGCTCAGTGGCACGGAGCAGCTCCATGGAGCATCTCTGGTCCAGGCAGTGCTTGGCAAGGATGTTCCCAAACTTAACAACCACCTGCCCGTCGGAAATCATTTGTCTGGCACATGCAACAAACTGCTCCTTGCTCTGGAACGGGATAAAAATCAATGGCATTGGGGAGAGGAAGGAAAAACAAACATTTCCTGCAGGACAGGGAAGGTCCAGGAGGCTCAGATAGATCCTGAGGAAAGGACAGGATGGCAAGCTCACATCCAACCAGGAGGAAGGAATTTGGAGTATTTTGCATAAACAGAGCTGGTGCCACTGTCCCAGGAGCTGGGTGACACAGGGATTTGGGATGGAGTTGCCATGATCCTAAGGGAAAACGGGAGGGATGAAACGCTGCCTTACCGCAATGGGGCCCTTCCTGCGCAGGAACTGAGCCATGTGGAGCCTCCTCGTGGCCATGTCCCGGGTCACCTGGGACACCCTGCTGGGGCCACCCTGCCACTTGGCACAGTTTGCTCTCTCCTGCTTTGCAGGGCAGGTGCTGGAAGGGCCATCCTGGTGCTGCCGGGGCAGTAATGGAGCAGATTCCAGACCTGGAATGTGTGGACACAGCGATGCCAAGTGCTCTCCTCCACCTGGATGTTTCTGAAGGAGATTTTGGTGAGTAAAGCTGGTGGGAAAGCTGCCCACCCCCTTCTGGGTCCACTCCCCCTTCCCACCAGCCCTTCTCCCTAAATCCAAAGCCCTTGGAGCCATCTCAGAATGGGAATGGGGTGTCCTACAAGCTGACAGTTTGCAATTAATTCCCAGCACAATGAGAGCTCTAAAGCACTTTGCTGAGGGACCTGGGTCTGTGCCAAAGCCTTTCCCAGCTCCTGACACCCATGGGAATGGAGTTGCTGGTATTTCCAGAGGGAATGTGTGGAGATGAGGGAGAGCTGCAGCCCCTGTGCCTCTGAAATGGATTGGGATGGATGTAGGAGAGCCTGGCTGATCGGATATCCAGGAATCCAGGGCTGACAGAAACCTGAGCTACTTGAGTGGCCCAGGGTCAGCCTGCTGACGTCCAGGGGCCCTGCCAGCATCCCTCACATTCCTGCTCTGTGCAGGGAGCACCAGGAATGACGGACAGCCCTGACCAACACCCTGTCAGGGAAAAGAGCTCCCGTACCAGTTCATGCACTTCCTGCACAGCTCCACTCTCTCCTCTGCTCCTGCATGGATGAATTCCTGCTGCCTCAGGGGGCTCTGGGGCTGGGGAGAGTCCAGCTGTGCTGCTGGGTGATCCTGGGCAGCGTTCCCGCTGCAGGCATTCTGTGAGGCACCGCAGGGTGTCCCTGTCAATTCTATGGATAACCCAGAGCTGTGTGACAAGGTAGTGAGCCTTGGCCGACCAGTACCACACCATGCCTTCCAGGTGGGGATCCCCAGCGGCCTGGCAGGGATCCCCAGGGGCCTGGCAGGGATCCCCAGGGTCCTGGTGGCTCTGGAAGTGCCGCCGGGCGCTTCCCACCACGTCAGCTGTGAGGAGCAGGAGGTGGTCAGCCATGGATAGCAGGTCAGGCTGGGATGTAAGTTGAGCACTGGCCCCCAGAGCACCCTGGAGGGTGTTTCTGACCCTCTGGACATCAGCCATGAGCTGATTTGCCTTCTCCTCAAAGCCTTCTTTGCTCCTCTGCCTCTCCTCTTGGGTGAGGTTGGACAGAGCTGCTCCAACCACATCTTGGATCAGCTGCAGCTGTTCCTTGTTGACCCTTTCCATGTGGAGCAGCAACGCCTTGGCCCTGAGGGCCACGTCCCTCTGCAGGAGCTCGAAGCGGGTGGCCAGGCTGGCAGTAGGCAGTGGGGAGAGCAGGAGGGTGTTGGACACATCCAGCAGTGCTTCCATGAACACCTGGATCTCCTCCCGGAGCGCCAGGATTTCTCTGGCATCGTGGTCTCCAGGGCAGGATAAGTAGGAGAGCCAGGCAGCCTCCTGCAACCTGAGGGAATTTTCAGCCACAGCAGCCAGGAGGCTCCGTGGGCAAACCTTGCTCCTCACGGCTCTGCTCAGCTCCCTCAGGAACAGGACATCCCTGCCCACGAACTGATCCATGGCATCCAGCAGGATACACATGCCAATGGCCCACCGGACACCGTGCAGCTCCAGCATGGCCTTTTCCATCCCACAGGATTCCCTGAAGGACACTGCCTTCTCCAGGAACCCTTTGGTGTTCAGCTGAGCATGGGAAAACTTGGCTTGGAGCTGCAGAAAGCTCTCCTGGATATGAGAGGGATTAGGATTTTCCCTACTGCAGGCTACGCTTGCAATGCCTCCTGCCATCTGCACTGCTCCTGCTAAGCCCAGCAGGGTCTCATCCAAAGCCTGCTTCCCTCTTGGAAAGTCACCTGACAGGATAAATCCAAGCACTTGCTGGGCCAGACCATTCCAAGAGCCTGCCACAGCTGCCAGGCACTCCCGAGTCTCCTGGATCCTTCCCGAGAGCCTGAGTGCCATTTGGAGAAGCCTGCCTGGAGCAGGGAGCTGCCCAGGGGCCGTTTCCATGGCCAGGCTGATGATCCCTGGGGTAAGTGCTTTGATATCCCAGTGCTGCTCCAGCACCTGCAGCTGGGGGGGTTCAGCCACAGGCAGTGCTTCCCGTGCTGCTTCCACATATCCATCAGAGAGCTCCAGCAGGATGGAGCTGGCAGCATGGACAGTGTCCATGTCACCGGCCTGGGATGCTCCCAGGAGAGCTGTGATGACAGGGTGTGTATCCCCTTTCCATGGATCCAGGTGGGGGTTAGCTGGTGGTGAAGATGGATGACTTTGGATATTTCCTTGGAACGCTGCCTCATCAGTACTGGCTCGTGTCCCAGTGTGGGACAGGCTGAGCTCCAGCCCCTTTTCCACCTTGGTGCTCCGCACCTGCTCCCGGAGCGGGCTGAGAATCTCTGGGTGGTTGGACCCATCCAGCCCGGCTTGGACACGGAGAGCAGAGTCCAGCAGGGAGCTGGCTGCCTGGGAAAAAGCACCCTGGCTTTGGAGGCAGGAAAACCTTCCTGGAATGAGGGCCGTGACTGCTCCCAGCTCCAGGATAGATTTGGCCAATTGCTCCACCCACACCAGCAAACCATTCCTGAAGATGGGATCCGTGGTCCTGTCCACATGCCGGGTGGAGGCTCCCACCACCCAACGTGCCCAGCCCATGAGGTGAGCACTGTGGCAGGAGAATCCCTCAGGATCCCAGCATTCCAGTGCTGCTTCACACCATTCCTGTTGCTTGGCCAGCTCCAGGATGGATAACTCAAGGAATTCCCTCATGCCAATGGTCTCCTCAAAGCAGTGCAGGAGGCTGTTGGTGGCTCTGGCCCAGGCACTGCACAAGGCCTGGAGCTGCTCCATGGCATTCCCACTTGTTTCCATGAGCAGGGAAGGGAGGCTGGCCAGGCGGCTCCGCAGGTGCTCCATGCCCTCCCGGATTTCCCTGGCACTTTGGGCCTTGGCACACCTGGCCAGCAGCAGATCGGCCGCTCGGAGCATCTGCTGGGCCTGAGCGAAGAAGGCGGCAATGAGGGGCTGGAGCTTCCTTAAAATTCCTCCTGCTCCTGCTGGACAGCATCCTGAATGGGCGAGGCTAAGGGCACCTTCAACCAGCTGCCTCAGGGGCTCCTTCTCCTGGAAGAATCCATCCAGGATTTGGCACAGTGTGGCCCTGAGTGCTGCCCGGTCCAGGTTTTCCAGCTCCTCCCTCAAGCTGTGACATTCCCGCTCCAGGCCATGTTCTCCCTGGCCATCCCTCTGGCTCATGTGGCTGCAGATGCTCCTCCTCAGCTGCAGCAGGGCCCAGCAACGTTCCACCAGCTCCAGCTGCACATCCAGCCTGGATGACTCTGCCAGCAGCATTCCATGGAGAATGACCGCGTCCAAGTGGGAGCTGAACCCGCCCTCAGAAAGGCGCAGGGGGTCAGGGTGGGAGAGGAGAGCCTGGAGCCTGCTCAGCTGCTGGGAGAAGATCCCACTCCTGTCTTGGGGCTCCGTGAGCAGCGAGAGGAGCTCCCTGATGGTCCTCTCCGTCAGCTGGAAAACAGAATCCTGGGAGAGGTCAGCTTGGCTGTCCCTGGAACGTGTCAGGGCTGTGTGGATGAGTGGGACGCACTTGTGGAGCAGCTGCAGGGTCTGGGCCAAGCTCTTCCCTGCAGGACAGTCCCGGAGTTCCTGGAGGCGCTCGGCTGTCAGGCGGCTCAACAGGAGCACGGCCTCAGCGAAGGGCTGGAATGCAGCCAGCAGCCCTGCAGTGTCCCGGGCATCCCGCAGCACGCCCAGGCATTCCAGGAGCCAGCTGGCAGCGCCACTGATCCTCCTCATTCCTGCAGCCTCTTCCAGATGAAGGATCTAACCGGGAAACAAGGCAGGAAAGCCGCTCAGATCAGGAATTCCCATTCCCATTCCATCCCTGGAGCGGGAGGAGGAGTGGTTTGCTCCGTGGATCTGCTGGAGCTTTCCCGCTGCTCGTGTCCCTTCCCGGTGTCCCCTCACCTTTGCTGTCTCCATCAGGCTCCTCCTGGCGGCCGCAGCCAGGAGCTCTCGGTGCCGAGGGCTGTCCGGATGCTCCTGGAGCTGGAATGCTGCCAGCACCACGTCCCTGCCAGCCTGGAGCAGGGATTCACCCACGGGACACGCCTCCGTGCTCCCTTCCTCCCCGGAATCCTCGGACAGCCTGGAGTGGAAGGACTGGGCTCAGCTCTGTTCCCCGCTCCCAATCCCACCTCTCCAGGAGGATGCAGGCTCCCTGACACCTTTTCCATCACTTCCCAGCCCCAAAATCCACCCGGGAGACTCCCATCCACCTCACCTCCTTGCCACAGCAGCGAGTTCTTCCATAGCTTTGGCTAATTGTCCTGCCTTTTCCCCCAAAGTGGGAAAGGCCGAACAAATCCAATCTTCGCGTTGCAGGGCGAGGAGGAGGTGGCAGAGCTCCACAGCCATGGGGCAGAGAATTCCCTGGATAGCTTTGTTTTCTGTTGGGAGCCCGAGCTCAGAGAGAGAAAAAGGTTCCATGTCGTCCTGCCTGGAAAAGGGAAAACCCCCTGCGGTTAATTGGGATCCAGTGTGGAACAGTTTCCCAGCGAGCTTGGATGGGGATGGCAGTTCCTGGCTCGGGAAACGCTCCCGGCTTTAATTTCACCCAGCCCTGAAACCAGGTCACTCACCTGGAATTCCTGGGACACCGGAGCCGGGATTTCCTTTCCCGGGGGATCGTCACGGGGTGTTCCCGGCACTGCAGAGCCGGCATTCCCTCACAGGGAGGGATTCGGGACAGCGGGGCCGGGGGGAGCGCGAGGTCTTTCCTGCCCAGTTCCCGCGGT